CAATATGCGTTTTTGCTGGCTGTAGCAGCGCTATAGCGCTGCACAGCAAAAACGCATAAAAATCATCATCATTAGAAATTAAGTTCAATTTGACGCATTTACCGGCTGTGCTGTGCAAGAGCTTATCAAGAAAACATATAGTTGCTTCAAGCTCTGTTGCGTGCTGCTATTTATTCGTTAATAGAATGCTGTAAAATGTTTACATTCATTTCCGGGCACATATTCAGCATGTAATTGCTATGAGATGCATATCCGCGAAGCAACACAGCTCATAACAAAATTTCATAAAAGTGCGAGAGCTTCAGATCTACTTAAAAGACTACGCGGTTTTTAAGCATTTTTCGCTACAACAGCACAGCAAAACGCATATTGCCCATGTTTTGTGCATGTGCCGTGTTTTTTTGTTTGTATTTATGTTTCTGTGTATGTATTTGTCTGCGTTTGTATTTTCGGTTATCTGTCCGGCTTTTTATGCGTTTTTTGCAGCTGTGCAATGCGGGAAACGCATACTGACGAGAGGTTGTCTGTGTGTGTATGTGTGTGTATGTGTGTGCGTATGTGTGTGCGCGCGCAGGGTCTCTGTAACGATTTTTTATTTCGAGTCCTACAAAAGCTACAGGGCTGAAACTTTAGGGGCTTAATCTACATGCACGTACGGGACCCATCCCCAAAATGGGCGGTCTTACCCGCGTGGTACCTACACGTAAGATCCCGCCAAAGTTTTTTACGGGTAAACTGTTAACTCGGGAACCAGAAATGTTGGGAAGCTGAAATTTTAAGAGGACGTCCCCCGTACAAGTAGGTATTAATGAACTTAAACCCAGCCCCCAGGAAATCGTGGTATTCGCGTACGGCACGCCGAAATTTTTTCCGGGTAAGTTCATAATTCGGGGATCTGAGACGCCAGAAAGCTGAAATCTTAAGGGAATGTTCCCCGTCCAAGTAGGTATTAATGAGCTCGAAACTACCCTCCGCCCCCCCCCCCGAGCAAGCGTGGTACCCGCGTACGGGTTCACCAAAGTTTTTGTCTGGTAAGTTCATAACTCGAGGACCTGAAAAGCTAAAAGACTGTAGTTTTAAGAAGATCTTCCCTGTCCAAATAAGTCTCAATGAGTTCAAACTCAGACACTGGGTATGCGTCGTATCCACGTGCGGGCCCGTGAAAGTTTTTTCCCAGTAAGTTGCTAACTCAGGAGCCAGAAAAGCCAGAAAGCCGAATTTTTAAGGGGGTGTTTCCTGCCAGTTCTGGCAGCCAGTCTTAATTTGTTTAGCTAGAAGTACTTACCAGAAAAAACCAATGCCGGTAGCAACAAAAACCGCGGGGAACTATGCAAAAACGCATCTTACCACGGGCAGCCCGTGCGTTGGCCAGTTATTTAATTTAGTAACAAGTGAAGTTAGGAAGCTGAGATTTTAGAATTCTTTCCGCCTATAGTCGACCTTGTCATCTAAAATCAGCTCGAAGTTGCGCTTACTTGTCACGTACGGACACGTGAAAGTTGAAACTGCAAAAGCTTTCATTCCGCTGAAATCCAGGAAAAAAGACAGAAAGCTAAAATTTTACTAGGCTGCTTCAAGCCCTTGTGCGAACATAGAATATAAATTCCGCTCCCCTCACATACGCATACTTCTCAGATACAGATATGTGAAAATTTTGCAGAGAAGTTTTTTAGCGCTAAAATTAGACAAATTAGAAAGCTGAAATTTTAAAAGTGTTCTGCCCATATGCGATAGTAATCTTTCTCACTGGAAATGTCTGCTAGGGAGAATAGTATAAAATACACGAACGCACCGGCTACCAGGTGTGCGTTACCAATTACGATGTTTAAATAGTTTTCCTTAAAGACCTTCGGTTCCAGAAAGTTGATTGCTAGTTATTTCTCGGAAATGCAAAGAATTAATCTTTAAACAAAAAATTAATGCACTATTTGTCTGCAAACTAAATGAATCTTGACGCTTTGGACCTACTCAGTCATTCATTGTTTTACCTTCCGTCTGGCAATATAATATAGTCAAGCACCTTTGTTGTTGCTGCGTGATCAAAAAGATGAAAAATATCATTGCCTTTTTTTTCAGTTCCTGAGAGACAAATTCAACACATTTAGAAAAAGTGAGAAAAAGAGAGGAAAGCAGGGAGACTGATGAACAACGAAAAAAAAAAAATGTGCAGTTGTAAACTGATGAACAACGAGCAAAATTAGTGGAAGAACAAAAAAACATCAAAATCTTAGCGAATTACAGCGTGGACTCATTTGACCGAAAAAAAACCACACCTTGTGTATAACTGGACTATTTGTGTCTCACTGTTAGCCTAACTTTCCCTTGCGTGCGTGCATCGTTGCTCTGGAAGTTGCTCAGTGGTCGCCTTCTGTCTTCAACGAATTAAACACTAACACGCGAATTCCAGTCCATCTTGATACAGAGGCGACCTGTAGAGAAAGTGAAATCCGCTTGGTGGGGTACGTTGTTTGCTTAGAATAACTTTGAAATTTTCCAGTGCTATTTAGTTCAACCACACAATCTGAAAAAAATTTCTCAAAAGTGAAGATAATTCACCAAAGGTGAATATATATGCTCGCGAAGCAATATTTAGGAGGAGCCAACGCAGTCGCATAATACCTTCGCTTCGTATTATCTTCTTCACCGTCGTTATTTTCAGGAATGTGAACATTGCAGGAAAAGCCTAGAACAGATCTGCCGAAGGCTGGACGACCTCAATGACGTTGGTGGTTTTTGCACTTCAAAACAGATTTTTCAAATTTCTGAAACAGTAACATCCCTTTTAGCTGCTTTTTTATACGGAAAATACGCATCTTTTGCATCTATGCAATGCAAAAACGCATATTGTCGAGGGGCTGTCCATGTGTGCGTCTGTACCGAGTTTTCATCTCGAGAACTACAAGAGCTACAAGACTGAAATATTGGCGGCTTAGTCTACACGCATGTACGGGCCATATGCCCAAAATAGACTCCCGTGCCCACTTGGTTCTCACATGCGGGCCCGTGAAATTTTTTTGCGGGTAAGGTGCTAACTCGGGAGTCAGAAAAGCTGGAAAGCTAAAATTTTAAGGGATGTACATTCGTGATGGCCAGTTTTAATTCTTTCAACTAAGAGCATCTTCTGGAAAAAACAGTGCCGTTAGCGACGTAACCTGTGGGAAAGTGTGCAGAAAATGCAGCTTCACACCGGCAGTCGGCGCGCTAGCCAACTGCTGAAACAGAATAAACCACATATTAATATCGGGTTTCAAATACCAATTAGTAGCTACCCTTACGTTTACAGGAGTTTCGCACATGTCTCAGCGCTGTTGTGCATATTTCGGCGCAAAATTTGCAATTGTTAAATCAAAAACAACAGTTAATAGTCGATTATTGAGGTCTGGAGACTGACTTGACCACCCAGTAGAAGCACAGTGAGACAGTTGATGAGTGAGCTAATTTCACAGGAAGTGCGTCGTTATCGTGATTTTCTTGGTTATGAAAAAGCACGTCGCGAGCCTGCTTTATACAAAACAGCGAATAGCGATCAGCCAACTACGCACAACGACGCAATTTGTCTGACCATTGGAAATTTAACAAATCAACTAACTCAGGTTACTTTTATCTTTCTACTTTTATCTTTCTCCTTTCTCTGACGTTTGTGAGTTATATTGCAGTGATGCTCGCACACACACGGTGGTAAGAAGCAAAGCTGAAAGAGGTCTAGAATAATAATGCTGGTGTTAAGTCGGTGTGCAAGCAGAAAGTGGGTGCCGACTTCGATTCGATGGAACAACATTTTCTTTTCGATTCTTGAATGTGCTTGTCTAAAATATTATTATTTCATAAGTTCATCTGAAAAAGTGATTACAGGAATGGATGGACAAGCTAAAATCCATTCACCATGCTGTGTCCGTGTCGTCGCCAGCAAAATCGAAAACGCCAGCATCTCCGAAATAATCAAAGCAGTCATTTCTAGCATTTCTCCAGTACGCTACATCTATGTGCGCGTACGGAAAAACTGTTTGAATTTTGAAAAACTTGCTTCGATTATAAGTTTGGGCTTCACTCAGTGAGATGTAAGCATACTAAATTTTAAAAATTTGACAAATTACGAATGACATAGCTTTAAAACGAACTGGTTCGATTAATAGCTGTCAACAAGAGATATAAAAATATCTGGGAAAAGCTATTCAAAAATTTTTTCTACTTTTGAAACACAAAAATTCTTGTCGGTTATCGTTTGTTAATTTCTTGCACACTTATTAGTGGGCCAGGCAAGAAATATCTTCACAGCGCGATGGAAAAATCAGTTAAATGTTCGAGTTGTGCATAAAAGCCAAACACGCTCCGTACTTCATCCTTGGGGCAATTACTGTGTGTAATTTTTTACGGATTTAAGCAAACTGTATTTTAAGCAAAAAAATTGCTAAGCTAATTAAACCCAGTTGCTTCTGAATTAAGAAATGGTTAGTATTAAAAAATCTATGAATATAGGACTGGAAAATCAAAGTGCTTTAACAGCGAGCATACGCACAATAGCATTTAATGCATTTTAAGACTGTAACTCATAGCGTAGTTTCAAATTTTATGTAACTTCCGCATTCCACACATTTTCTTACTCAGTTTCAGAGCTTTGCAGAATGCGCAAAAAATAAATTTTTCTGCCTTTTTTTGCTGCTGCACGGAATATTTTGCTGCACACTGCTCGTCCGCCGAACATCCTGTATTTAGCTGATTTCGTTTTTTTTTTTCGGATTTTTTGTCGCATATCTGTGTTCGGATATATTTATTAAACAGTTTTCATGT